ACGAGCTTTGCCAAGCATAGGATGGGTAGCCTGAATTCAATTCTCATTTCATCTGAGCATATCCTATTAGGATATACGCGTTTCACAGGTATGCATAGGTAAATATAGCATAACCTGCAGCAAGTCCTCTTCTAATCCCAAGCCAGAAGCCCAACTGCCTCATCCCGAGCCCCGAAGTCTGAAACCTAAACCAGAAGTCTTGCAGCGTGAACCTTAAGTACTAGGCCTCAACATCCCCAACATCCCGGTAGGGTTTCGGGTTTAGGGTTCTAGGCGTCAACATCCCCAAGATCCCAGTAGGGTTTAGGATGTTTAGGGTTTAGGGTTCTAGGCATCAACATCCGCAAGATCCCAGGAACTCCATCACCCACAACGGCACAGTGATGGCTCACGGGCTCATGCAATGCGGCACGACCAGCGACGTCTTCCTGCGCCAGGGGCTCGGAGCGGATGTGCCGCATAACGTAGGGCCTTACTGTTGATACTGAAATCCTAACTGACTCTGGTACACTACAACACAAGCTTTCCTGAGGTGCTTAGCAACTGACTGTTTTAGTGTCAATAGGTTGTCAGGGAAATTGTCTTAGTAGTTATAGAGAAGAATGGGTAATTCCAAAATCGCGGTAGGTTTTGGGGAGTCTCTATTCAGGGTACCCATATACGTGGCACAACCAATTGCGATCGTCGTGTCCTGATGAGTAATTACTTTGAATCTAGCCACGGTGCTTCGCTGGGAATGAGGGAATGGGTCTCTGCAGAATTCTCTATGCGATCCCTTGCCCTAGTCTAGTCCATTCCCCTGTTCCCTACTAAGCAGCAGAAGGGATGACATCCTTTCCCCAAGCCCTAAGCCCTAGACCGTTTAAAAAACACACTTCGAACCCTACAACCCAAACTCAACCCTAAAACCCAAACTAAACCCTAAACCCCAAAACCCAAACTAAACCCTAAACCCTAAAACCCAAATTAAACCCTAAACCCTAAAAGCCAAACTAAACCCCTAAACCCCTAAAACACTACACCGTCAAGGTAAGAACCTGGAGTGGCTGGCCAAAGCTTCGAACTGGGCCAAGTTTTCCGCTACAGCCTCCCTTGGCCCGGCACCCAAGCTTGCTTGAGTTTTGGGGTTTAGGGTTCAGGGTTTAATGTAAATCCCTTATTCATAAACCTTCCTCCTTAATAAGGATTATAATAGAGATCCTACTAATAAGGCCCTTAAAGGGAGGGGGGTTAATCACGGGTCTACATTATAGTGAAATGTTTGTAGAGGGGGGGTGGTTCAAGGGGTGTAGGAAACCTAGTAATCCCCAATACTCCCCTACTCTCCAAGGTTCCCCAAGGTTTCTAAGGCAGGCCTGGTTTTGACTGTTTTGGGGTTTCCATGTTGATTAAGCACCATTTGCCTCATGTTGAACTTCATTTGTTTCCGTGCACTGTGCACTGCCTGCCGCAGTGGAAGGGTGGTATAGTTCTGGGGACTGGCTGGTACCATGGCAGTGAAGTTTGAGTTCGACACCACGCCTGCGCGCTGTACAGACCGCACGATGGACAACCGGAAATGCCCCAGCTCCGCACAGCGAGGGCGGTAAAGATTCAATAAACACTCCCTTCACGACACACTTACTTGGAAACTCTACACACATCAGCTTCAACGCTCTGGCATGCAGCTTTCATGTTTGCTGCGTTTGCCCCATGTATGTGCCCTAATCCCCAGCAGCCACCCCTTCTCTAGCTGTACATGAGCTGTAATCTAAACTCCTCAAAGGGGTTACATAGGGGATTAGATAGGGGAGTCTTGTAGGGGTCATTACGGGGGATACCAGGAATTTAGACTATAGCTCACATGCCCCCTGCAAAGCACTACATTTTGCCGCCCGCACATCCCCGAAGCGTGCCATGCGCGCAGCACGGTGCAAGCCCGCAGCCATCATGATCCGACCATGGCGAAGTACCAAAAAGCATCTGCAATCGGTATAGTTCTTGTGGGCGCCTTATCTTGACATGCTGTTGAGGCACTACCGCAATACGGGTATATACTAAAAGGGGTCTCCTTTTTACAGTAACTTACTCTACGTTCCTTACCAGCAACCCGATAAGCCGCTTAACATCTTAAACCCTCATAGTAATTTCCATTTTTTCCATTATGCCTTTAGAACCTTACATAACCCTATATTACCCTATGTAAGCCCTTACGTACATCATCCTATATATCCTTATAGGTCCCCGAAATAGGCCTCAAGATATTATAATCCTTTGTCTAGGGTATATCATGGGGACCCCCAAAGGGTACCCCTAATTTTGGGAAATCCCCTTATAGGCCGCTTAACATCTAGAGGGCACACCCTAAACCCTAAACCCTGAACCCTAAACCCTAAACCCATTTTATTCTTGCCCAAGCTGGCAAGTTGCTGCCGCAAGAGGCTGAGGAATGTCAAAAATTGTTCAGCTGTAGCCCTGGGAGCAACGTTAGGGATCCTTTAAAGGGGGAGATAGGAGTTATAGGGATACTATAGGTATATCATAGGGATAGTAGAGGGATATTTTAGGGAATATATCGGGTTTAGGGATCCTGTATATTTTTGGGGTATGGGATTCCGCGTAATTCGTGTAAAAAGGCAATTTCTCTTCCTAGGGTAAGTAGCCATGGGGGCACTTTTGCTTAAGTCGACAGCCCCCAAGACTCTACTCCTTGTTTTGGGGGGTCTACGCGTCATCTACATGAGGTATAGTTCAAACACCTTTTTCCCTCCTTAGTAACCCTTATTACATTCCACTACATAATCCCTTATATGACTCCCCTTCAAGGAGTTCAGACCCTAAACCCTAAATCCCAAACCCTAAACCCTATATCACCCCCCTTTGAGGACTTTAGACTATGGCTCACATGGGCCATATTTGGTTTATGAACCTGGCAGCCTCTGCCTTGTTCTCATCGGCTTCAGGTTGTAGTACTTGGAGTCTAAGTAATGCACGCGGTTTAGGGCTTTGGGTTTAGGAGGACATCTAAAGTTCTAGGAACCCTAAACCCTAAACCCTGAACCCTGGACCCTAAACCAGGAGTCCTAGGTGGTGCAAGATTTTATTCATCAGCTGTGTGACTATCCCTTTAGATCCTTCATACGCGGTTTTAGGGTTTAGGCTTTTAGGTTTAGGCCTGTAGAATTCGGGGATTCGGTTTTATCCCAAGACCTGTATTCCAACTATTTACGCCCCTACACTAGGGCTTCGGATTTTGGATCTGAGTCACGGTATTTTTACGGTTTAGGGTTTAGATCCTTTCTTGCACCAAGATGGCACAACAACCCAGCAGTCTCGGAATGCCCCATGTCGGGAATCCAAAAATCAGGGGCCTTCTTTTTTGATGGGTTAAGGCTTTAGGTTTTCGGGATTATACTGGCCCCCTTGTTTGTGGAAATCCACATTGACGTTTCAGCAGCAACTCTTGCAGGATCTACCTTGGAGCACAGGGCATAATGTCCTCAGTCACGTGACGAAGCTTTGCAAAGGAAAAGCTCACATGAGCCATAGTCTAAACTCCGTGAAGGGGGTGATATAGGGGATTACATGAGGGAATATTATCAGGGGCCTATCACGGGGGGAAACTTCGAATTTAGACCGGAAACCCTGAACCCTAAGCCCGAAACCCCTAGAACTTAAAGGGGGACACTAGGAGTTTAGACCATAGCTCGATGATAGCTCTTCCCTGGCATATGTCAATCTGGCGCCTTACTTTGAACCCCGAACCCGAACCCTGAACCCTAGACCGTGTAATCGCTACCTTTACTTAATAGAAACCTAACTCCTGAAACCATAGTCCTTATACATACACACACTAAACTCCCAAAACCTGAAACCTTGAGTTCTAGCCCCTACATCCTTGTACATTGAACCCTAAACCCTTAACCTTAAACCCTACATCCTTATACTTGAACCCTAAACCCTTAACCTTAAACCCTACATCCTTCTACCTTGAACCCTAAACCCTTAACCTTAAACCCTACATCCTCATACCTTGAACCCTAAACCTTTCAGCTTAAACCCTACATCCTTCTACCTTGAACCCTAAACCCTGAACCTTAAACCCTACATCCTCATACCTTGAACCCTAAACCTTTCAGCTTAAACCCTACATCCTTCTACCTTGAACCCTAAACCCTTAAACCTGAACCGCGCAGCTGCCTAGGCGTCATCCACAAGGGTCACATCAAGGAGTCCAGGCACGGGTGTTCAGCTTTGAGGGTTTAGGGTTCATCATGTACATACGTAGTGGGTTACATAGGATCTATAGGGTTGTATAAGGTTGTTTAGGGGTTACATTGGGATAAAGGAAAATTAGAAGGGAAACTACTATTCAGGGTGTAGGGTTTAGGGTTTAGGTTTAGGGTGATGGCTGCTTGGGAGGGCCATGGGGACTTAGCAAAGAGGTTGATAGCGTGGATAACTGTGGTTCTTATCTGGCTTGCACTGCCCCTGGTAAGGGTGGCTGAGGTACATGCAACAGGACCATATAGGCTGTGCTGGGTTCATGGCTTCTGAGAATTTGTGGGTATTTGTAAGTCGTGGTAGGCATCCTGGTTGAGTTTGAATTATAACAGTTTTGCTAATGCAGCCTACTTAACGATTTTTCGGACAACCTACTTCTTAAACAGTTTTTACCAGGCCTTCATTTGCGATATCGTGCCGAACCAGGGTGCCAAGAAAAACATTCATTGACCAGGAGGGTTCGGGATTGTTCTAGGGTTGGCTCTCAATTTAACCTGTGTTGTTCGCCGCCTGCTGCACGTGCATCCGGACAAACACATATTGCACACATAGCTGTCAGGCTCCAGGACAGGAGGTATAATACAGGCTTAACAAGCTGACGTAGTATCTCTTTATCATCGGGTGGTGTCCTCCCCTCACCATCTCAAAGCATTTCCAGCAATCCACATACAATACCATTATGATCTTGTGTCTATTAGGGAGACTTCTTGGCCGAGCCCTTGCCATCCTGGCCTTCGATGGAGAGTTTGCCTACAGTAAAGCTTGGAGGCGCGCTCCAAGGCAGGAGGCAGCCTTTTGTGTTCCGATCAGAACACGGTGATGACCAGTTCTGTGAAGTTAGTGTTGTCTCGGGTCTGCCAAATTGGATGCACGCAGGTGAGGGCGGCAAAGGCTGGGTCAAACGCCTGGTTGCGAATTTTTCCGGTGAACCGTAGGGTGTGGAGACACCGGTGTCCCACACTCTTGCCCAGGTTCCGCCGAAGTTCAGAAGCTTGCGCACTGCTGCTTGGAGGCAATCTATCTCAGGGCAAGTGCGAACGTCAAGGGAACAGGCCCGCGTCTTCGCAGTTGTGTTATGTTGCAGTATTGCATGGGCGTCTTGGGCATGTAGTTGCATGGACAGGCGGTGGGCTCTGTCTGAAAGAAACCAGGCAGGATGCCAAGATTGTGCTTGTCATGGCTAGTATTAGTGAGCAGTGTCTGTTGCGTCATTCTTGCCTGTATGCGCCTGGTGGCAGGCCAATCTCTGTGAAGTTGGCTGACACGCAGAAGCTTGTTGCCTGGCATGCAGCTTTACTCGTTCTAACCACCTGTATTTGAGAATCCATATGGCAACCCACTATGCATTGCAATGCTTGCGGTGCCAACACATGCATGAGGTCTGGCATTGCGCAATGTACCAAGAAGCTAGGACTAGTCCATGTCAGGGTGGGGCAAGGCCAGATTCGGAGCATATTGTGCTGCCTGCAGATGTCTGTGACCTTATATGGCATTGTAGGGGTTGGCAGGGCCGCAGTTGCGGAGTTGAACGAGAATGTGTCTGCTACTGGCGAATGGCTCTTTGCCGCAGCTGCTCAACAGCAAGGTGTGACTAGTTTCGCTATCCAGCTTGTGTGCGTGAGCAACACCTCGCATATTCGCAGCAGAATAATATATCAGATTTGTAGTTCCTTGGAATCAAAGGCACGCCATGCAGCAAATGCAATCGCCGGCGGTTTCATTGTCAACTTCTGCCCAGACCCGAAGTACGAATGTTTGTTTTAAGTAGGAGGGCGCCGCTTGTGCCATCCAACGTAGATCTGTAGCATCTTTCCGCAAAGCGGAAAGGGTTTCTGCGAAAAAGACGTCCATAGAGTTTCACATGAAGTCCATGCAGCCGTCTCTCACTGCTTGCACAAATTTTTGGAGAAGTTTGTCAGCTTATTCACAAGAATCTCAAAGTGAAGCCTGTGCAGCTGGTGGCGTCACGTTGGGGCTTGATCTTATGATCATGCTTACCTCATGCATCTGGGTTGTCAGCCCTGATTAACTCAACATAGTTCCAATGGCCAAGCAGCGCCATGCAAACTTGCGAGTGCACTGGCTTGCCGAAAACAGTTACGGCTCCAATGCCACAAGGTTCAGGGCTTTAGTTTCTGCCGTCATGGGTGGAAGCGCGATGACTTCAATTACAGATGCATGAAGGCTTGCGTAATTATGGTTGTAGTTATAGGTATGTGCTGTCAAACGCAAGCGCCATATTTAAAGGTCAGTCGCGTGCTCGGGCCGGGGTTCAGCTAAGATGAAGGCTCAGCCAAGGCGACATTTTCATTTATGTTGTCCTTTGCTCATGATAGCACTGGGCCGTGTAGTGTTGCGGATACTCAGATCTTTAATAATCAAGTCATCATGTGCGTCATTGCGATCTTTACGAGTTTTGTTCTTGCAGCTATCGTTGCTATTTCGTCTGTTTTCATGACAAACAATATATACCCTAGTATAATATAGTAGCTTCTATTTTCATTTCCATTATCCCTACATGACCCGAATATTATACCCTATTGTACTATGTGAACATGCAGAAGCCTGTGGCCAGGTCCATCCTCAGCACTTACCTTCCGCAACAGGGAGGCGCTCGGAAAGCGGTTTAGGGTTTAGGGCTTAGGCCGGTTTAGGAGTTGAGTGAATGCAGAGTGCTTTGCCGTGGTTCACATTGCGTGGAGAATAGCGCCAATCAATCAGTCTTTGTCGATTTCGGGAGCCGCATATTCACAAGTGTCATCTTCAAGAAAGCCTCAAATGAACAGCCACTGCGCGGTCCTTGGGTTTGTGTACAAACTAGGTAATTTTCACTGCAGTGTTCCGAAACGGTGACGAAGACTTGCGCTCCGCTTGAGTCGTTGGGTTTGTGGGTTGGACATTCAGGGTTGAGGTGCCAAGCTTGGTTTGTGGGGTACAGGGTTGCAGCAGTAATGAAGCTTTGGGGGATGAAGTTGTAGAGTTAAAAAATCGTAGGTACGTTCTTGCAACAAGTTTCCGTCGGCCTGAAACTGTCCTCAATACGCTCAGTTCACTGTTTACGTTTGCCCGCGCAAACGAAGTCTGACCCTGTCAGCCGGCAGTTTGGACGTTTGTTCACTGAGCAAAATGCCGTCCGAGTGAGGTCTTCGTCCTTGCCGACCCTTTGCAACAGGAAGCTGGCCCAATAAGCGCAGGTAGCGCTGGTCCCGCAATCACTCTGACCGGACCACTCGGCAGTGGCTGAAATCGTGCGAAACTGTCTGTCGAAGCTGCATGGATCTACGCATCGGGTGCGGATTTGCAAAGATCATGGTCCTCTTCCTTTATTTGAACTTGTACTGTACGCTCGACGAAGACTTTCGGACCCACACGCTTGTAAACAGGATCCAGAATTCGGGACAGTTCGACGAACAGGCTTGCTACTTCTGGAGCCCCAGGCTTTTCAAAAGATAGCCCGTCCCAGTGTATGTCTGTCTGCGGATACCCTTATACCCCTTCACTCCAAAAAATCAACCACCCCAAATGAGCTATAGTCTAAACTCCTAGTATCCCACTAAGTAACCCCTATAGTAGTCCCCTATATACTCCCGTATATAACCCGGTTAAGGAGTTTACACTATAGCTCAAATGTTGCCTTGCAGTGCAGGTACTCGTGGCAGCCCCTACTCCGAGGGCGGGGCTCTGTACGGAATGGGTGGGGGGCTGAGCTTGGGATCAGTGAGTCCCTTTCAGGGTTGCAAGGGTTTAGGGTTTAGGGGTTCAGGGCTTAGGGTTTAGGGGATATAGGTATCATTTGGGTATATTAGGGTTATATTGGGATAGTGGAAGATAAAATGGAAACTACTTTTTAGGGTGTAGGGTTTTGGGTTTTAGGATACTTGGGGGTAGCATAGGGTTTAGGGGTTTAGGGTTTAGGGTTGTGCGGTCCCCAAGGTTTTTTAGGGTCCAGGTTGTCAAAATGGGATAGTGCAAGGCTGGCAATTTCGACTGAGAATGCTGAGGCCTGATTCACGCGAACCACTACGATCCGGAAACGAAGGACCTTGCTCAGGGTGTAGGGTTTAGAGTTCAGCGGCCAGAACTGCTTGGATCGAGGTTGTCTTGAGGATTTATTCGGAGGGTCAGGGGAATGTAGCAATCATATCCAGAGCCCCTGCTACTTGTAGCCAGAAAGTAACCTCAGCTACTCTCGTTATCAACCTATGCGCTAAGTCCCCCTGAAGTACACCCCTCTGGTCCCCATAGGCCTTTGATCCAGCCAGTTTCCGTTAGATTCTCCATTACCCTCCAAGTGGGCTTCAAAGGTTTAAGAAGTCTCGGATCTTGGGCGTAGAGCGCAGGAAGTTATTTCCACGCTTGGCATGACTTGGAGGTCCAGGGGTACTTATAACACAGTTTAGACCTCAATCCAAGAATTTCCCGTTTAGAGGACTTACAGTAAAGGCCTCAATCATGTATACATACAGTGATAAGCAGGTTACATTTACCCGCGGGTTTCCAAGTAGGGCGTCGTCTTGCACAGATACGCGCCCCCAAGCCCCTCCACCGGTCGGACTCTTTTCGAGAGCCTACATTCATCCAGGATGGAAGACTCGTAGCACGCGTTATTTTTTCAAGCAGGGTGCTCATGCAGCAACGTTGCAAGTAAGGGTTCCTTGTGATACTACTTGCAAGACCCTTTCATTTCAGCAACGCTAGCGAATCTTCATAATCACCACATCTACGAACATCTGCACAAGCACCCAAGACCCAAGCGCGAACAATTATCAACAATCATGATGGTCAGGCTGGGAGCAATGAAACGGTTTTGTAAAGATACCGAACCCTCCGTAGTGATGGCAGGTGGAGTAGATTTTGAAGAGTTTTAGTTTTGGGGCTGTGCTGAAGCCAATGTCATATATCGTCGGGCTCTTCCACTGCATTGGGTTTGGGGATATCACAATTTCCAGAAATAAGGGGCCCTCTTGGGAGTCCGAATTAATTGGATAGTGGGGTTGTCGCTGGGAACCCCCACATATAAACATTTTCCTTTTCGGGTTTTGCTCTAGACCCTTTATACAAACATCCTAAAGGCCATCCGAGCAAATGCAGCACTGAGCCCCAAACCCTAAACCCCGAAAGCTCAGAAAATGGAAGTGGTATAGGGCGCAAAAGTAAAAACACGACACTCCGCTGAAAACTCAATCGAAAATTCAAGACCCGAACCCTGGAAACATGTAGGATTTCAGCCCTAAACCCGAAACCCCTAAACCCTTAAATCCTAGGCTCTAAACCCCTAAACCCTCAACCCTAAACCCTGGACCCAAATTTTAACGCTTCCTCCCGCCAGGGCTACCTCGTGGAGCAGTTGAGGAATGCCCAGGCAACCGAGGCTCAGCGCGAATCCGGGCGGTCAATGCTTTGAAGGGTTTACTTTTGAGCTGTAGTCTGAACTCCTTAAAGGGGGTTGGTTATATAGGTGACTACTATGGGGCTTATTATGGAGGATACTAGGAGCTTAGACCGTAGCACGTTTGGGGTATGGAACGTACGATTTAGGTTTTGGGGCTTAGGGATTATGAAGGGGCTTCGGGTTTAGGGATATGGGGGTGTCCCAAAATTAAGGGTACCGTTTTGGGGGTCCTAAGAAGGAGTATAGTATTGTGGGTCTGTAAGAAGGAGTATAGTATTGTGGGGTCTGTATTGGGGTACCTCAACTTGGGAAACTACAACGTATACACACATACATATTCATGAGGTTTTTATGGATAGAGATGAGGATCTATGGGAATGTGCATGGATATTTCGGGTTTGGTGTTTCGGAAAATCAGGGGGTCCCTTCTTCGGCGGTCCCCACGGTAAGGATTCGAGTGCATGGGGTTGTAAAAAGGCGCGCCGTTTTCATGGACCCCTTGACTTCATGGCACCGCGATAGGCGTCGCAAAAGGCTTAAACCACACTGACACGTCTGCAAAAGTCAAGCAGCAGCTAGTAGCAGCCTCGCCATGTTTTGGATATTGTTCGACCCCCAGCTAACCTACGATTCCAAAAAGCTGCAACCCCCCAAACCTTCAAGCAACATCCTCGTGTGGAGGGCTTTTAATCGGAACTGCAATCCCCTGAGTCTCAAATCCGGAAAATCCTAGACCCCGAAACCTGAATCTTGCGAAGTAGGAGCTGGTGTGGTTGGGAGAAGTTGCTTGGGGATTCCTGGATTTTATTATGGACTAGAATCCCTGCGTATGTGCGTATACTTATCTATGTATATATACTTCGCATTTAGCATTCCCCCCCCC